TGTGCAGGCCTCCTGTGTACAGGCCTGTGTGCATGCCTCCTGTGTGCGTGCCTCCTGTGTGCGTGCCTTCTGTGTGCATGCCTCCTGTGTGCGTGCCTCCTGTGTACAGGCCTCCGGTGTACAGGCCTGTGTACAGGTCTCCTGTGCCTCCTGTGTGCTTGCCTCCTGAAAGTCACTTGAGTGAGAGCCTCTGAGCGTGTGCCTGAGTACATACTTTATGGTGTACCTCTTGGGTGTGCATCTCTGAGTGTGTGTCTCCTGCATGTACACCTACTGTGTGTACCTCCTGGGTGTGTACTTCGAGGCTGTATGCCACCTGCACGTGTGCCTCCTATGTACGTACCTCCTGTGTATGCGTGTCTTTTGTGCATGCCTCCTGGGTGTTGGCATCCTGGTGTGCACCGCCTGTGTCCCTGCCTCCAGGTCATACGCCTCCTGAGTGAGTCATTCCTGGGTGTACACCTCCTGTGTACGTACCCAGAAAGTGTGCACCTGAGCCTTCTGGTCATGTGGCTCCTGGTTTTGTTTTCATGGTTGTGCATCTCCTGGCTGTGCCTCCTGTGTGTGTGTGTCTCCTGTGTGTGTGTGTCTCCTGGCTATGTGCCTACTTTGTGCATGTCTCCAGGTCGTGGACCTCCTGGGTGTACACATACCATGTTTGTATCTCCTGTGTGCGAGCCTCCTGGGTACGCGCCTACCATGTGTGTGCCTCCTGGTTGCCTGTCTCCTGTGTGCATGGCTCTCAGTGTGCACTGTGTACATGCATCCTGTTTGCACATCTGTGTGAGTGCCTCCTGTGTACATGCCTCCTGGGTGTGCACTCCACCTGGCTGCATTCCATCTGGCTGCACTCCACCTGAGTGCATAATCCAGAGTATGCACTTTCTTTGTGTGTACTTCCTGGGTGTGCGCCTCCTGTGTGTGTGCCTCCTGGGTGTGTGCGCCTCCTGTGTGTGCACCTCCTGGGTGTGTGCCTCCTGTGTGTGCGCCTCCTGGGTGTGCGCCTCCTGGGTGTGTGCCTCCTGGGTGTGTGCCTCCTGTGTGGTGCATGGCTCTCAGTGTGCACTGTGTACATGCATCCTGTTTGCACATCTGTGTGAGTGCCTCCTGTGTACATGCCTCCTGGGTGTGCACTCCACCTGGCTGCATTCCATCTGGCTGCACTCCACCTGAGTGCATAATCCAGAGTATGCACTTTCTTTGTGTGTACTTCCTGGGTGTGCGCCTCCTGTGTGTGTGCCTCCTGGGTGTGTGCGCCTCCTGTGTGTGCTCCTCCTGGGTGTGTGCCTCCTGTGTGTGCGCCTCCTGGGTGTGCGCCTCCTGGGTGTGTGCCTCCTGGGTGTGTGCCTCCTGTGTGTGCACCTCCTGGGTGTGTGCCTCCTGAGTGTGCACCTCCTGGGTGTGTGCCTCCTGGGTATGCGTGTGCTGTGCTGAGGGTATTTCCTCTCTTGCTGAAGGTTATCTCTCAGCTCTTGTCTTCCATATCCCATGCCTGAGAATGTCATTTGTTAACCAGCACAGGCTATGAGTCTCCCTTGTCTCTTCCTCGATTCACTGATGATGTAGGATTACGGGTCCGGATTGAGTTAACAGACCACATTAGCTTGTCTGATCCCCACAATAGCCTAATGAGGAGCTTTCCGTTACTACGATGATTCTACTTTTCAGATGAGATATTTAGGCTTAACTTACACTGGCTTAAACCGGTAATAAAAGCTGGAGTATGAACCCAAGCTGGGTTCTGAGCTCAGTGTCCTCCTCAGTAAGTTGGGTACCCACCTTGGGCTCTATGAACACCATGGTCCCCCCAGGTAAATCATTTGCAGGGACACCGGCACACACGAGCTTGGGGGAGGTAGCTGCTGCTGCCACCACCTCTATTCCAGCCTCATTCCGTTTCGAGGTCCATTTTGGTGTTTGACTCTTCTATCTGCAGCTTCTCTGACAAAAGCCGGCCTCTGTCCCAGCCCGCCCAGTGCACTTTCAGACAGCTCCAAGCACTCTTATCGAAGGGTAGAAGGCACAGTGTCGCCTTCTTTCGGAGAATGCCCTGGAGGCCTGGGCTTTGTGGAGAAGACCCCAGGCAGCATTACATTGTCGTCTTCCCTTGCAGACCTTGGCACCTGCCATCAACTGGTTGCCCTTCCTCAACACCATCTTCTACCCCGTGGAGATCAATGAGACCGAGCCCATCGTGGTTTACGACAAAGAATACCTGGAGCAGGTGTCCACTCTCATCAACAACACCGACAAATGGTGAGGGGCACTGGGGCCCGGACGGACCTCTCACGGCAGCCCTGTCTTCTCAGCAGGATGGGCGGGGGCGGGAGGATGACAGACTGACCCAGGGAAGGGGCCCTGGCGTGGGTTTTCATGAGAGGCAGCGAGACTCCTGGTTAAAAAAATTCCTCAGGCAAGTTTCTCATCCTCTCTCAGGGTCGTTTTCCTCCTCCCTGAAATGGGGGTAGACATAGCACCTGGCACGTAGGGGTGTTGTGAGAATTGAGGCAAGTAATCCATGTGGAGTGTTCTAACACAGAGCCTGACACATAATGGGACTCCACAAACGTTAGCGATTATTTTTAGTTAAAATGGATGACATTTTTAAAATTTAAAGAATTTGTATACATTCGAAAACTACAAAAAAAAAATTAATTACCCATAACAATACTATTGATCTTCTGGAATGTGTGTGTGTGAGAGAGAGAGAGGAGTGTGTGTGTGAGAGGGGAAGAGAGAGAGAGAGAGGGAGAGAGGTGGGCAGAAGGTACATGGTTCTTTCTCACCGTTGTGAATAGATATATAGTCTGCTTTTTCCTCGACCTTTATCATGGGCATTTTCCCCATGTCATCCCAAACTTTCTGTAAACACCATTTTTCATGGCTGCATAGTATTCTGTGCAATTATTTAGACCAGCTCTCCCGCCTCGCCACTCCTGTTGTCAGACATTTAGGTTGACTCTGATTTGAGGCCAAGTGTTCACTGCACTGAACATCTTTGTACCAAGGTGACTTCTTGCAAAAGTGACAGTAGCCTCAGATTGGCTTCCTGGGCCCTGGGGATGGGCAGTGGGAGCTGTCATTTATAGAAACCTTGGCCCACGCTTCCTTTCCTGCCCCCTTGCTGTTCCCTGGCCAAGACACTCTTCCCACCCCAGCCTGGAGCATGCACACCCAGGAGGAGTCTCCATGTGCCGCTCCACAGAGCAGCCAAGCAGCGAGCGGGTACTGAGCACCTGTGCTGTGCAAGGGTTCTCATCAGGCAGTGGGGGCTTTCTGTGGTAGGAGACCCAGGCTTACTCTTGAAGAGCTTGTCCTCATGTGTGTAGAGAGCACGAACAGTCAGACCTGGAGCTGGGCTCAGAGGCAGAGTTCGAGGTCCCGGGGGTCAGTGGAGAAGTGCTGCAATGCTCCCAGCCCCAGCATTTCTGAGCTGTCTGGTCTCCTCTGGCCCCCATTAAGTAAGTGGAACAATCAAGTTTGCTGCTGAACAACTACATGATCTGGAACCTGGTGCGGAAAACTAGTTCCTTCCTGGATCAGCGCTTTCAGGATGCTGATGAGAAGTTCATGGAAATCATGTATGGGACGAAGAAGGTGAGCCTGTTCCTCACTTGCTGAGCACCTACTGTGTGCACCCGGGGCACCCTCCCAGGGCCTTGGGACTTGGGCGGGACAGTGGACAACAGGAAAATTAAGAGGGCCACTGAAGGGGTCTGCCCAGGTATGCACAGGAGCACAAGAAGGGACCTCAGCTGGGGTGAACAGAGCTTCCAGAAGGAGGTGATTATGCCAAGTCAAAGGGAAAAGAGAAATCTTAGCCCCTGAGCTAATTTACAGCAAAAGGTACTTTCTCTTTCCGTGGTGGTGAGAAATGCTTCCCTTAAAAAACCCATGTGAGGACCAACAGTTAGTGTAATAGCTATGTAGCTGGACTCCCACGTAGTCGACCACGGTTCGCGTCCCGGACCCGGTGGCTTAAAACACACTGGGTGTGTGTGCGTGTGTGCCCAAGATCCCGAGAGGAGAATGGAGGAGAAGGGATTGTGGCGTGGCTATCCCCCCGGGGGGTGATTTCTCACTTTCTGTCTCTCTGTCTCTCTCTGTCTTTCTGGCAAGCATATGTGCCCGATAGCAAAAAAAAAAAAAAAAAAAAAAAAAAAAAAAACCTCAAAAAAAAAAAAACACAAAA